ACATGGAGCGTGCATTCATTTTGTATTCGAAGATCGGCGCGAGTCAGAACATGAAGAGATTGTCAACTGGACATGTTGCAGTTTCAATCATTGATTTCGGAAGTCAGGGATTCACTGTGCCAACGACTTTTGCAGTTTCTCAAAGCCAAGCTTGGTCAGTTGAGCCCGTGCCTGACTGGGCTTCGCTTCCCTGGCCAGCCGACTGGTCAGTGGATGGTGACCGCCTCGCAGCGATGTGCCCGCTGACGGCGCTTGTTGCTGCGCTTGCTTGCATCGGCAGCCCTCCAGTGCTGGCAGATCTTCTAGGAGGTCCTCCGTACTCCACAGCTCAGGGAGGTCCGTCACATCCAACAACGCCGGCAACGACTGGAGGAACAAGCTTTGCAACTGGCACAACAGGAACAACGTGTTCTTTCAGAGGCCAAAGAATCAGCACCCTCGCTGATGACATCCGGCCAGCTGACAACCGCTCGCCGGGAGGAGAGAGTGAGGCCATTGGCCATGGTGAAGGGCAATGGGAAGTACTTGGTGCCTGCCTTGGAGCCGTCTCCGATGTGCAGCCACCATCTGACCAAACACGGTGCCAACAGGATTCTATGCTATCACGAATGCACCGAATGCCTTCACCGACAGACCATGCCATTGACCCCACTCACGGAGCTTCATCATTGGAACAACCACCCATGCTTCATCCCGGACCCCTTCTACGACAAGAAGGACCCGAAGAGCAAGACCAAAGCCAAGAACCAGAAGGTGGAAAGCTCCAGCCCCTCGGACAGTTCAACGCCACTTATGGCACAGACACCAAAAGCTGCAGCAGCATCGATGACTTCAGCAAGACCAGCAGCCTACAAGTCTCGAGCACGGCCCATGGCCAACAAGATCGAGATCAAGGAGGAGGACGTGATCGACCAGGACATGAACGGTGCCAATTCATGGTGCGACGTGGTAGCCAATCAGCTCCTCCGATTCGGTCGGGAGCAGGAAGAAGCCGAAGCAGCGATGATTGGCGATCCCCACGAGGCTATGGCTCAGATCACGCAAGAAGCCCTCTCACAATCCTGCGACCGTTGCCAGACAGGAGAAGTGATGCTTCATCGCCACAGCCCTTCAATGCACCTGCTTTGGAAGTGCGACAACAGCCAATGCTCTCTGCATTGGGGACAGCTGAACGCCGCAGTTCACCCTGCAGTGGGCACGATCCTATGCCCTCGCTGTCACAGTCGCGAGATGTTGGAGATTGCACCGGGCATGTCACCAGAGGACCAGGAGATGCAGTGCATGGACGAGCAATGCGGGCTAGCAGCCTACATGTTCGAGATTCCGACAGCCTATGCGCGGATTGGCCGCTTCAATACTGACTGGTTGGCTGCAACAGCTGAAGATTTTGAAGAAAGATGAGACCTTCCACAACCTGCTGACGACCCTGGACATTGACCACAGCACGACCTATGTAGCCACGGGGCTCGTGTCTCCTACTTGACCTTGTATGAGTTCACCAAGGACTTCATCGACTACCTCTCCAATGCTGAGCTCTACCAGCATGAGGTGACTCTGGCCAAGTCCACCAAGAATGACATTGTGAAGAGCTTAGATGGCTTGCTTCACAACCAGAGTGCCTACTGGACGCTTTGGGAGGAACAGGAGCCAGATGACGTTGTCGAGATCTTTGGTGGCCTCGTGAACGAGAAGGACGCCATTGTTGAGATCTACAGCCCACCACGTCTGGTGGAAGCGGCAGCCAAAAGAGGCCTGAAGGCCAGTCTCTCCATCGACCTGGTTGACTGGTCATGACCTGAGACAAACACCGCAGCGGAAGTGGCTTCGAGAAGAACTTCATCGGCGGCGACCCAAGCTTTTGACGACCTCACCGCCCTGTACCAAGTTTTCACCGCTGCAGAACATCAGGCCACATCCAGAGAGACTTCAACATGAGCTGCCAGAAGCCAAGAGGCACGTGGACTTCTCCATGGAGCTTCAAGAAGATCAACTGGCAAGAGGTGATGACTCACTTCATGAACACCCTCATACCGCAACATCCTGGTCGCTTCCTTCAGTTGAGCGCTTCCTCTCTCATGACCAGATCGTTTTGGTCAAGGCTCACCTATGTCGCTTTGGACTTCAGGTGGGACAAGGAGGACTCAACAAGAAGGCTACCTTGTTCGCCACCAGCAACGACTGCATAGCTGTCAACCTCCAGAAGCTGTGCAACTGCAGTGAACCTCATGAACCACTACTCAGTGGCCTACCTCACAAGGCCCAGGAATACCCACCGGAGTTGGTGAAGGCCATCATCGATGGACTCATGCAGAGTTGGCTCAAAGACCAACATGGCAAACCACGACATCTACCTGATCGTGGTGATCTTGAGCAGTGGGTTGATGAGTTGCTGCCCCGTGAATTTCAGTGGCGAACGTTCCATGACAGCGCCATCCTTGTCCTACGACGACCTCTACATCATCAAGTCCCAGCACGTGGACCTGGACACAGGACTTTGCGCTGGACATGGGCCAAAGGAGTTGTTGATGGCAAATGGCTTCAGCTCGAGCGAGCGGGTACTGGCAAAGCGCCTGTCTTTGAGGTGGAGTACCCCTTCGTCATTGTGCTCTACCACCACGCTGAGCTGACTTCGAGCTTTGCAGAAAGCGCCTCACTGACCCCAATGGAGAAGAAGATGGTTTTGGGAGCTCATGTTAATTTGGGGCATCCTAGAGTCAAAGAATTTGTGAGGTTGCTCAAAGCTGCAGGCACCAGAACCGACGTGATCCAGTATGTCCTCAAAGAATTTTCGTGTGATGGTTGCCGACTGGAGAAACGTCAGCCCACAAGATTGCCAGCAGCTACTCCAAGAACATACGACTTCAATGTCTGTGTTGGCATCGATTTGTTGTTGCGCACGGCATCGGGCATGTTTTCCTCGCTCTTCTTCAGCTCAGGTGTCGTGGTGAGAAAACTACCACCTCCCGTCAGTGTTGTCGCGGGAGGCTGCACAAAGAAACCGGCGCTCATGCCCGTGGTGGATCCTGAACTCCTCGATGTCGGTGAGGCATGCTTGGAGCGATGTGGACACTCGCGGCTCCAATGTCCAACTTGTTTGCACTGATGGCAGCGTGTCTTGGCTTTCAACTCGGTCAAGGTGAGCTTCGAGCCCTGTCGCTGCTGCCATGGACGATCATAACCTCTTCCATTGCGGCTCTGTTGAAGTAGCCGTCGATGCTCCAAGTAGCCGCCACCGCGACCTTGTCCAAAGCTTGGTGCACCTGCTCCATAGGTGCGGTGCGCAGGACTCTTGCCCTTTCCCTTCTTGCCTTTGCCCTTACCTTTGTGGTGATGATGAAGTCGATGCTGAGTCTCGTAATAGACATCTTCGATGTGCCCAGCAATCGCATCCAAGGCATCCGCCTCGTCCATCACCACTGGAAGCTCATCTGGGAAGACCAGCTGCGCCTCATTGTTTTCACTCATGCAGATCAAGTCCTCGAAGATGTCGGTCTCCTCGAGGTCGTAGGCAACATAGCTGGAAGCATCTTCATCTTCCCAATCCTCATCAGGCTCTTCACCCCAGTACGAGGCACTGCGCCATCGCCTGGGTGTTCCAGGGTGTTCACCTCCATGCTGTTCATCTAAACGGTCACCGAAGACCTTCTGGATGGCCTTCTCCAAGTCGCGGAAGTCGATGCTGCCGTTGGTCACCACTTTCAACCGTTGGCGTTGATCCTGACTGAAAGCTCCTTGACGCAAGATCAAATGCCCAAGAAGGTGTCTCCCAGCCGTGGTGGCCAACAAATCCAAACCCTGCTTGCGAAGCTCTGCAAATGCTGCCTTCTTGTTCGTGAGGAACGCCGTCAACGAAGTTCCCCTGTCTCTTCGGCCTTTGAAGATGGCCTCATCAAAAGCTTGCTCAAGCCGTTGATCTTTGAGGTATTCATGGGCTTCTTCTATCAAGCGGACAATCTTCCGATGTCCATCATCTGCGCAGATCTCCTCCACAGTGAGGTGGGCAACAAGCGAAGCCAACTTCGATCCAAGGGGGATCGAACCAATGATCCTCTTGCCGATCAGATTGGTGGGCAACCGTGCTTCGGCCTCGACAAGCCACAGGGAGAGATTCCTGTGGTATTCTTTGTACTGCTTCTCCGGCGCATCGCCTCCCCAGCTAGGAGCTGGGTCCAACCTGTAGTCAACATGCTTTCTTGGTTCCCGACCAAAATTGGATGCGGCCGGTGTTGCTGGCCTTGGCGGTTCCACCAGGTCAGCTGCAGCTCTGCTCCAAGGATCTTGTAATTCCGGGGGTCGGGAATCAACTGGTTGATATTCTCCCGAAGGTCGTGCTTGTCCAGGAGAGCTCGGAGGCATGGCTGCCGTAGGTGAAGTGGGCGGGGCCGCCGTGGGAGAATTCACTGATGTAGCGGCGGTTCCTCGCCAGGTGCGAGCCGGTGGAGGCATATCGCACAAAAAAGAAAAGGTAAAGCCAGAAAAGCGTCCCAGTCCAATGATCTGGTACTCGATGGGCTCAAACTCAAAGTAACTCCCCAAGGTCTCTGGGTAGGAACTCCCTGCCAGCCGGGGGCGTCCCCCCAAATGAACAGGACCACTTCGCGGGAGCCCCCCGGTTGTCACCAAGGGGCTCCGCTACCACTGTCAAGTGGCTGGCGCGCTCACTCTGTTTTCGCCATTGCGGGCAGGCTCAAGGCGCCTAAGGGTTCGATCCATATGGGCGGTTGGAGCCCAAGGGTATGCGGACATGGAAACTGGAGGTGCGGGCAAGACCGAACGTGCATTCTGTTTCACACAAAGCATTCGCTGTTCAAACTTGGGACTAAATGCTGGATTGGAGCATCACTACAGTACAAAAATACATAAGAAGGGTAGCTGGATCCGCAAGTTTGCTGCCCACAAGCCAAACCAGAGTACTGTACACAAAGCCAGTTGTATAAGTCTGTGTGTTTTTGCATCTTCGACCAATAAGGTGCTTGGACACTGAACAGTTCGCCGGACTCCTCCGCTCCATCACCCAGGCACCAGTAGAAAGGTTCCAAAGTGCACATCACCTCATGTCCAGAAGTTTCATCACCAAAGAAATGGTACGGGAATTGAGCCTGGCCTAGCGCCACTTCAACAGGAATTAGGAATGATACCGATACCCGAACTTATGGTTGGAGCTCTTCGATTTGTACAAGCAAGCAGCAAGCAAGCCAGCCAGCACGCACGCAAGCAAGCAAAGTGGAACTAGTGTCATCAAAATCCTGAAGAATGTACCCTAGTTTTCTCCACCTGCCAAAGCCTGCCAGGGCCAGCAAACCAATGCAAGCTGAGGTGCAACAAGGAACCAAAACAATATCAAGGAACCACAGCCTTGCCATGCCAGAAGGTATTGAGGAATAGGTATGCAGAAGTACCGGCTGACATAGCCACCACGAAGATCTTCACAAAATAGCTTGACATGATCGTAGAAAAGCTTGGGCAAAGAGGTCAAATAGATCAGGGTCCGGCACACAAAAAGAGCTGTTTGGATCCCACTGGTGCGCTCTAATGCCGACAAGACTGACTGGCTCACCTCGGATCTTCCGAATCACACAGGGCAGGAAACGCAACCTGCAGCTCTGTAGAATATGTTTAGGCAAGAGACCAGGAATAAACACAAAGACCAGAGGAAGAAAATCTTGCGCCGCAAGAATTGGTGCTTTATCCCTTCCCAAAGGATATCCGACACAACGATCACAGTCTCATGACCTCGCGAAGTGCTGACAATTATGCAAAGAAAGTAGTGTGGCATACACTCCAAAACACAAACATAATCTCGAACCCCCGCTCGCATCTCAATCCGCGGTGGTAATGATTTATCATCCAGAAAGCAGGTAAAAGCTCATAGCATGGGTAGAGTGTTTTCAGGGCAGTTCTGTACCAGCCCGGCAGCCCGGACTTTCACATTGCGCAAAGCGCGACTCTCTCAAAGCTCTCGATTGCCATTTTCCAGCTTCTGGCACAAGTGCTTCTGAGCGGCTTATGAGAGTTGGATCTCTATAATCTTCCAGCCAAGATAGCGTTTCACTGGGCTGCCCTTCAAGGTCCTGCACTAGATGCTTGACATAGTAATTCACTCTCCGAAGGCCTCAGCATGCACAGCACTGCATGGTGGCAGTGTTGCTCACAGTTGCATTTGCGATTTTGCCATTTACCAGAAGCCTGAGTCCTAGATGGAACGAAAGCAAAATTATTCGTTGAACTTGAGAAGCCGGAACGAAAGCAAAACAATACTTTGATCGCTCCACCATCCGTAAGAGAATGACCACCATCCGTAAGGCGATGTTGTTCTCTCTGCTTCATCACCAATAAGACTTCTGTGGAAATGCTCGAACACTAATCTAGAACAGCCTTGTCTTCTTTGCTTCGTTAAGCTGGTTTCGATCAGCTCGTGATGTGCGTGTCCTTTGGGGGAGGAGCTTTTGTAGTGGTGAATCAATTCAATCGTTCACAACTATCAATTCTGAACCCCCTGTAAACAAGAACTTCAGCAACCTCCTTCAGAGCTCGCTTTCGTGGCTTGGCAGTAAAGGACCCTGTTGTCATTGGAGCTGAGCTGCCTTTGGAAATCCATCTGGACCGCCACACAAGGCCATCAAAGAGTGCATTCAGCAAAGCAGGGACGTCTGTCATCAGATACTTGACCACATCCGGATGTCGCGTGAACAAATCGTCGCAAGCATAGTAGTAAACATCCCGATCTGCCCGGATCGTCAACAAATCCTGCAAAATGGCCTTGGCGCTGTTCAAGTTGCCACTCCGGATAGACCAATAGAAAGGAGATATCGACTGTGCGCCAACAGAAATGTTCAAGAGCTCCTCACGCTTCGAGACTAAATTCAGCTGTCATGCAAGCATAAAATCCCTAAGACCTAAGAGAGGAAGAGGGAAATCTGCGTTTAAGCATGTTCATACGATCCGGAGTGCCACTGTTTCGCGGTCTCTCCTGAGCACGTTTTCCACGTGGCGATGTGGCCATTGCCTTTTTCATTGATATTTCATCGTTGGTGCTGATTGCTTTCATCACCACAGTGGAACCTTCAGAAATGGCCCTCACCAAAATCCTTGGCACATTCACAGGCGAAAGAGTCATGCAATTGGTGCTTCTTGCTTGACGCTTAAGTACCTTCTTAAGTAGCTACTAGGTTGGAGGCCATCGCTATTAGGTTGGAGGCCATTGCTATTAGGTTCCTGGAAACTGGTGCTTCTTGCTTGCAGGCAACTTCGACACCAACTGCATCGCCCACTTGAAGCCATCAATCGCAGTTTCATTAGTGGTCGCCAGGCTGAACATTTCCACTGCCGACCCCACGAAAGGACCAAAAAGCTCAGGAGGGATGGCATAGCCTACGTGACGGAGGCCCAAACCACTGATATCCTGCCGATCTGAGACTGGGACACCATGACGAACCTTTTCTTCAAAAACGATAAGACTCCCGGCTTTGAGTAAAGGAGCATTGATAAAGGGACTCCCCACCTTCTAGATTCTAGAGGCCGAACGCGGGCCGGGGAGGGTGACTGGAATGGGAAAGATTAACACACTCCCACCAAATAGCGCCCTACGCACGACCCAAATGTTGCGTTCAGGGTTCACAGCAAGTGCCTGAATCACTTTCATGCCAACCGACTCTTTCATGTGCACAAAGCACAGTAGTCCTCGACCATTGCACGAGGTTGGCGGTAGATTTCGAGACATAATTCAATGATCTTGTCCTAGCTGGCAAGGAGCGAAAATACTTGAGCATGGCGCTGAAACTCACTCGACCTCATCAACAAAAAGCTGCACGCTTGCTTCAACTCCAAGGATCCGCTATGAAGTACAGCCTGGTAAGTGACTGCTTGAAGAAATCTTGCCCACTAGGCGCAAGCTTGAAGAAATTTAGGAAAAACTCCTGACGCAGCTGCGTCAGTGCTTCCTCTGGAAGGCTTGATAGCACTTCGGTTAAGGCTTTCTCTTGTACCTGGCTCGGATAGGAAAATGCTGATTGTCGGCTGTCTTAACCTACGATGCTTTGATGCATCACATGAGCCATTGCACAGTTTGTGGGACACAAAAAGCATGCTGAACTGAAGCCAACAGGCTGGCGGCTTTCCAAGAAGTTGCTTCAGTAACCGCTCAACATTCCTGGGTCAAAGAAAGGACAACAGGTTTCACAATGCATGCCCAAAAGTATCAAATCAAAAATCAATATGATGTCGAGTCTCTGCCAAAGCCAATTCCAGGCAACCTCAGCATGCACTCAGACTTCTGCAGAGGAGATATGATATATTGTGCTCCCAAAAAACGAAACAAGTCAAAATCGCAACCATCCTTTGGTTCAGTGTGAGTTTGCCATCCGGCCTCATGATCGGAGTCCCAATCTGACGAGACCAAGGACCGAAGCGAAGCCAATACAACAGCCTTGAACTCCGATAGCACAAAGCTCCCTGCGGCACGGCGTCCCCCTCCATAGGGTGAAGTGGGTTGTCTTATGTCACGTTACACATTCCATTTGGCAGGAAACACCGCGTTCTCGATCCAGCTCGTTTGCCGTTTCAGCCGTCTACGCCGGTTCAGCCATTTCCGCAGCTTCTGCTTCAGCCGTTTCAGCTGTTTCAGCCGTGTCCACCGTTCCCATCGTTTCAGCGATTTCCACTCATGACTAGCAGTCTGCAAAGGACAAAACCCTTTTGATTGAGTAATTGCACGTCGTGCATAATTCTTGTAATGCCTTGCCTTGATATCTTGAAAGGACTAGCGCGAGCACCTCACCTGAGGTGGGAATATGCATAACAATTCAAAAGGGCTTGGAGGTAGGACCACTCTCTGGTTGAAGGTCTTGCCTAAACCAGGGTGGCACAAGACTGTAGCACTCTGAAACTTCCAGATGTGTTGGCTTAAGTAATGCCTATACATTCCTTGTAGCAAGTCATGATATGGCCCAGTCCGGAGTTGCTTAGCTTTTGGCTCAATATGGTCCTATATCAAATGCCAACGGAGCAGCATTCTTCTTGCAAACGGTATGGGTTGGCCACGTTCAGGGCAATTGCATCCAACTGGTCCAAGATCAAATTCATCCAGTCGTTGTTGCTCAGGCCCATGACCGCGGCGTTGAAGAGAAACATATCATTGAATGAATTGGGTACCATCATGCCCTCCGTGGTCCTTATTTTGATCACGACTCTTCACCCACACTTTGCAAGGTGCTGTTACAGCTGAAACTTAAACTGCAAGCCTGATTCCAACAAACAAGTCGGTTAATTGTTCATGCCGCCGCAGGTTCGACCCTTCCTACCCCCCCACAAACAAAGAACACTTTGACTTTGATGTCCTATCTCTGGGCTTCACCGAGGGAGAGAGAGAGAGAGAGAGAGAGAGAGAGAGAGAAAAAAAAAGAAAGAGAGAGAGAGAGAGATGGCTCAAGATATCGGCTCAAGGTTCAGGAGGCTCAAGCTGGTGCGTCCTACCTTGAGGTCACGGAGGGCACTGGAGCAACGACACTGACGAGGTCTTTGTCCTGTCCAATTAGGCTGGTGCCAGTGCCTTTGACCGTGATACGAGACAGCAGAGCCCTACCACCTGATCAACATCATGGAGAAGCATGGCTGGGATGGTTGGCAGTGGGCAAGACGCAAGGGCAAGCGATCCTACATGGTGTGTGGTGGCTGTGAAGCTTCCTGGATCTGGACTGACCGTGTTTCGGACTCCAGGTGGCAATGTGACAAATGCCATACACCCTGGCCGCAGACCACGTGGAGTATGCCTTGGAGGAACAACCCCCGCCGACAGGCACGCACCAAAAGAGACAAAATGGTGCTGGTTGACAGGCCGCCAGGACTGGGAGCTCGAGACAAAAAGGTTGCCAAGAACCCCGTGGATGACCTGTTGAAGAAAAGCTGGACCACCTTGAATGATGATGTGAAGAAGGCTCTGCAATCGGTTGGCATCGACTACACGCCGGAGCCAGAACTGCAGCCATTGGAGGTGATCTTGCAAGCCCACTTGGAGGCCCTGCCCAAAGAAGTCCGAGAAGCAGTTGAGAACTTGGTTGCACCAGCCAAGCAAGAGCCCAAAGATGTGACCACAAAGCTCAAGGCCACAGTTGGGGAGCTCAGGCAGCTATCAAACAAAAAGGCTGGCCTCCAGAAGAAGGTGGACACGGCCAAAGACCAGTACAAGATCCTGCTTGACGAACTGAAGCTGGTGCAGGAACTGATTGACAAAGAGCAGCAACAGTTGACTGCACAATCTGAGGCCTATGCCAAGATCCTGAAAGAAGAGAATGTCGAAGACACCACCAATGAGACGGGTGAAGTTGATGGTGACATGAATGATCACGTGCTCAAAGCTTTGGCACAAGTTGGCATTTTGTACACAAACACCCAAAAGTCAGATTTGGAGCGGCACCTGGCTGAGAACAAGCTAAAGCGCCGCAAGAAATCTGAGATCCCGTCCTTAGGGTAACCCTGAGCAGGGATGTGAGCAGACTGTTGAGGAGGCGATGAAAAGGTCTGAAGTCATGCAGCAAGTTGAGCTGGGGTCATTGCTACATGCTCAGGCTGCGATAGGGGTTGACGAGCCAAACCAATGGGAGTGTTTGCAAGTGTGGCATGCTTGGGATGACATGCAAGCTTCATGGGGAGATGAACGACATGAGCATGTCAATTGGAGATGTGGACAATCCTGCTTGGATGATGCCTGTGTTCAAGGTTGGCAGCCGTATGTGGGTTTGGAAGAGCAGTTTGATATCCCTTTCAATCCGCAAGGGGCTGGCAGCCATGACATACAATTAGGGGTTGACAGGCTGAATTCACAAGTTTTTGAGCTAGCTTGTCGCGCTCGGTGGGGAAACATGGGCGCTGATGGCAAGCCATGGAAGCAAAGTGGATCCTCAGAACACACTGAGGATGAGGGCACTAGTGAGCAGGCACTGTGTTCTTCTATGTCAGAGCAGCTTGTAGAGACTGCTTCAGACGGGACCTGCCTCACCAGTGCTCAAAGTGGAAGGTTGGATCAAGGCCAAACAGAGATGGTGGTCTTGATGCAACAAAGTGATCAGCAGGCAGACGTGAACGGAGCCTTCAATTCGAAGATGTTGAGGGATAGCCGTGGCATGAAAGCCTGCACCAATGGCAAGCACTCTCTTGAGGATGCCCCAAACATGAGAGGTGAATCAAGAGAGGGCAAAGAGGCGGGGGAAGGGGCAGAAGGGGCACTGTGCTCTTCTATCTCAGAGCGGCCAGGCTCGCCTGGACCTGCTTTTGACGGGACCCTGGAAGCCCCAATCCTTCACCTGTCAAATGAACAAATTGGGTATCCAGTGGGCTGTTCCAGCAGCCCACTCTGTGGGTCCCAAACCAGGCCCTTTTCGGGACCCACAGGCAATGGGTACCAATGCTCTCTCCTTGGTGGGGGCAAACGAGCAAAAGTCAGTGGAGAAGATGAGATCCTTGAGGATGAAGATCAGTATGCGGAGAGAACTACACCAGGACATTTGAAGGACAGGCTAGTTGTCCTACAGGAGAGAGCAATGGAAGCAATTCAGGCCTTGCCCATACAGTGTGCAGACGACATTGAATTTGGGCAAGTGGAGACCAGGGTGTGGGGCTTGGAGGCCTTGAAACATGTGCTCCGCATGAGGATGGCACTGCAGAGTAACTTGATGTTATGCAGGCCAGTGGAGGCGGACCCCAAGATCCCGCCGGCGATTGAGCTGCTGGCGGCAAATCTCACACTGTGCATCCACAATAAAGGCAATCGCTGCTATGCAAACTCGGTGATGAGGATGTGGTGCTGGATGGGTGCACATCACAAGAATCCAGCAGAGTTTTGGGGACAGTCCACCAAGCTGTGTATGCAGCTTCTGCAGCAGGACGAGATTGATGATATCTTTTGGGCCTCAGAGATGCAACCTATCATAGCAAGGTTGGAAAGGCCGCAACAGCAACATGATGCCTCGGAGTTTCTGGTCCTGATGTGGGAGCTCTGGCAGCAGACGGGCCTACAAGGAAATTGGGTGTCAAATTTTGGTGGCAGAAATCATGAGTTTGACACCATACCCATCTTTGTTAGAATGCCTCCTGACTTAGGGGAGGATGTGCAACTGTCGACCCTGCTGTCGATGTCGGCCAATGAAGCGAGTGGACAATGCCTGGGGCAAGAAGTACAGCATGTTGTGTTTCACATTGGGCGGTATTCAGTGATTGATAGGGTTTGGACCAAGCACAATCACAAGTTGATCACACCGCCAATGTTTCAGTGCCCGCAGATGACGTCGACTGGCCATGCAGCTCCTGCAAATTTTGTGTTGAGAGGTGTCATTGCACATCAAGGAATGGAGCTCATCAGTGGTCACTACATCACCATGTTGGTGGAAGGGCAAGCGGTTTGGATCGCAGATGATGGTGAGTGTCCAAGAGCGGTGAAAGAAATTCCGAGCATTATCCAAGAAGGCACAGTGATGGTGTGGGCCTCAAAAGCTGAACCCTCGGATTTCTGGTCCAATCCCATTGGTACTATACAACCACCGCTGAAGAGACCGAAGATCCTGCAAGATGAGGTGCAATTGTTCTTTAGCAACATCACTCAATGGAACAAAGAGGTCTTCCAATGGCTCATCCAGCAAGACCTGCAGATTGCGCTGCTGGTGGAGACACACATAGCAGGCCCTAAGCTGGAGGCTGCCATGAGTGACCTGTGTAGGTCTAGATGGATGCCCACCTTCCTGACTGCATATGAGACGGGCAGAGGAGGCACAAGTGGTGGACAAGCCTTTTGCTGCAGGGAAGGGCAGACGGCCTACAAGCTGCACCACTATGACCATGAAGGAAATGGATATTTGGCCAATGTGGTCCAACGGCAGAACTGGGAACTATGTGTCATTTCAGTGTACCTCAAGTGTGGGGAGGACCTGAATTCGGTGGCCAATGCAAGAGTGCTGGGACAGGTGGCAGCCTTGGTTCAGGAGCTTGCTATACCATGGCTCCTGATTGGGGACTTTCAAGTCCCGCCTGCACAGTGGGATGGACACAACTTGTTGAATGTCCTGAAAGCGGAAGTGGTGAGCAGTGGCCAACCGACCATGATCAATGGAGCTGAAATTGATTACATTGTTGCAAGTAGGGCCATTGCACCGTATCTGGACCTCAAAGTCAACTGGGATGTACCATGGAAACCA